GATGGGAATTTATGATTACTGCCACCAGATCACAAAGTCACTGGAACAGGGTGAAATTGTGAGCATCTAGTCAGCCCCCAGTGAGTACATGAGTCCTTAATTCTAAGTCTCAGTCACACTCACTTTGGTAATGTTGTTTGTGGAGAAGTCAGGTATTGAATGCTCAGCAGGAGTTAATCTAACTCTCCTCTAGCCCTCTGTAAGCTAAGTCCCTTGTCAAGCCTAAAGTTCTTCACAGTTAACAGAGAAACACTGGCATTTCCAGGGAACTATTCATGCAATCTCTGGCNGACTGGGAATTACACTCTGAAAATGCCTGTTTTCGTAACCAGCTGTGGAGTCCATACTACTAAGTCCACAGTACTAATCCTGTAGCTGAAGTTCTTTATTACTGTGTACCTCAGTACTCACTGGTGTCCAGAATGGGATCTGTTGAAGTGTCTTGCAGGTATTCTCCTATTTTCTACAGTGACTCAGCATCTGGAGTGATAATAGCTGAGTCACTCATTTTGCCCTAATGTGGAGCTGCAAGGCTGCTAGGGTCTACACCCAGACCTGGGATCCAGAAGTGCTGCTGGGTCTGCTCACAGATGCACAGTCTTAGAGTTGTCTTCTATTGATAATGGATAAAATTTGATATGATGAATCCTTGCCTTCTGCCTTCCCCAGTATTATTAATCATCTTGTCTTTCCTATCAATGAGTGTCTGTAACCAGCAGCTCAAGATCCGCTGTTTACGTTCAGCTCTGCATTACAGAAGCATCCTGTATTGCTATTGCAACAACCTAGACTGATATGATTGAAGGATGGGAGCTAAAAGCAGGAAGAAAATATGGGAAATCTTTCCTAATGCAAAACGTTTGGTTTTGACTAAAGAAGGTTCACAAAAGGGTCACAATTTGTAATGAAGATAAACCTTTTTATTCCTTGTATTTTACCTCCTCTTTAACCACTAGTAATACACATAAAAGTCCATAAAGTGCCAATTTCTGTCTGTTAGAAGGAAAAATGAATGAGATGTTTGGCTTGGGAAATCAGTTTCAGTCTGCTGTAACTTACTATTAATGGAGGCCAGCACCGCACACTCCTGTTATGAGTTCACAATATATCTGTGTGTTGCAGTCTAACAGAATAAAAGTGTCTCCAAAGGCTGGAGAAAGCTAATTGCCAGTAAAGCATAAAACTTACCTTTCTTTGGAGAATGAGAATCACCATTTGCAATTGATTCAGAAATTACCAAAGTTTTAATTTCTCTGTTGGCATCCACACTTGTGCACAACTAACTTTGTTGCTGGAAAGACATTTTATGTTCTGTAGTCTCTTGCACAAAAAGGACTCTAATTCTCTAGTGCCAAGTGAACTGGTGATATATTACAAATCCATTTTTTATGGGAACTTATAATTTGTTGGTTGTGCTCATCTTAACAATGCAAGAATTTATCACAGCGGAACACTTTCAAGGCACGCAGTCAGTCAATGTTTTTACAGTCATATTACTTGGAAGCATCTAAATTAGCATGGTTTATGCACTGCAAGTGGGGACACAAGCCCTACTACAAGTGCAGAAGATGTTTATAAAGTCATTACTTTTCTTTGTCATTAACAAGAACATTAGGAATTCACTTTCCTTCTGCACAGATTCATGCAAAGACATGTGAAATGAAATCTGATCTATCTTTCAGCTGAAACAGTAGTGCAAATATATTTTCTGCTTAGGTTCATCTTCCAGAGGCTGGTAATATAAACTTTCTGTAAACTGGAAAAAAACCCCTAGTCTTTATTGAGCAGAAGCTAAAACATCAAGTGGAAGGAAGCAGATTTTAATCCAGATGTACAAGGCAGAATTGCCGTTAAATAAAAGTTGTGCAGCCTTCAAATTAGTTATTTTTGTTCAAGCCATCCTTCGAGGTGCCAGATGATACCATGACAATGAGTATGATTAGCAGTATTATAGGAACTATCAATATATTTTATAGACCCAAATCTCCCTTATGTACATCTGATTAATAGAGCCTAACTCCAACACCCAGCATTACATTTAGACATCTATAGATTGTATGTCTGAGCTAATCATCCAAATCCTATTCATACTTAGTGGAAAAAAAGGGCTAACTCAGATTCTTTTCTTCTCTAAGTGAGTATCATAAGCAAGGTCTGGAGGTAGTGATCTCCATTGATTAGTAAAGAAATGAGGTAATAGCTCAGACTTTGATAGCAACACTAGAAACATTGAAAGCTAGGGCAAATAAATCCCACTTCATGTTCATCTGGTTTGACAGGGCACAGATGTGCAGATTTTAGCCTAGACATCCTGCTTCTCTTTACTGCAGCAGCTAAGCTCAGGAATTACATAATTTCTCAGTGTACAACAACTGAAGCCCCATGACTATGCCATTTCTTCATCTTACTGTTTGCAGACAAGTCTAGTAATCAGGAGTGGATTCTGTCTACATGTTTTGTATTCCCCATCTCTCTAACAGGGATACATATACCATGCACACCCCTAAGACCTTCCTGGAAATGCGGTAATGACTCTCAGTGGGTCTTCACACCCATCAGGTAAAGGAAGTTCAACTAGTTCTAACATGTATGGTTTAGAAGATGTTCAAGCAGGCACTGTGTTCCTTGAGACAAGCAGCGCATCACTCTTCAAGCAAGGCAGAAACTGCATGGGAATCAAGATAGTGCATTTTTTTTTTGACAACTAATTGAGGTAGAGATCTGAAGCAACCACTGTAATAAAGTTCTTTCTTACTGACTGCCTCATGCACATTAGGAATGCAATGCATCAGATACAGCAGCATGCACAACCATTCAGCTGGGAGATGGAATAATATCACCATTTTTGAAAATAGAACTCTGTCAGGTCTCCCAGGAGGGTTCTGACAGCCAGCATCATTCATCTGCCTTTGCCACCTGAAACTGGTATTAACCATGAGGGAAAAAGTGATTCCACAGACTTAACTTACTTGGATACTGCTGTGACACAGAAACAGAGACTAAACAAAACTCGACACTAAGCAAACGCTTATTTTTGGAAAACCAAACAAATCCTAACTCTGACACCGAATGACCACAATGAATGTTGCAAAACATATTTATTCATTGAGAGTATTGCATCCAAACAGCTAATAAGAAACAGGACTCTGCTGAAATATGCAAAATGTAAAGCTGGAGGAGCTGTACATTCTGTTTTACAGGAGTCACCTGCTGATTAACATCACACATCCAAAAGTACAGCGTCTAAGGATTGTGGGGGTGTAGCCTGTGGGAAGCCAGTGGGCTCCTAAAACACCTGTGTGAGCCTGTCATCATCATTCTTAAGAATGTGACCCAAATCTCCTGAGTTATTATGTATTTTAAAGGCTTGTTGTTTGTATCTTTCCCTATGGACTCTGGACACAGAAGGTACTTGGAAAATTAATCTCAGGATTTTAAACCGTCTAAGATTTATACCCACTGGATTTCATTCTAGGGTCTCTTGAGAAAAAAATGTTGAGGATAAACATCCTATCTCAGGAAAATTGTCTTATCACTGCCTATATTTAACAGTTCTAGATTCTGGACTAAATGGATTCTAACAACTGAAACAAAAACTCTACTTTCAGGAATGCCCCAGAGGATTCCCTGGGCAATTCAGATCAGTGTCTGAATACTGTCCTGTTACTTTTAGTCTTCTATAACTAAAATGAAAAGCAGATTGTATTTTTTAAATCATATTTTCTATTTCATGTAGTTTTGGAGCACTGGAAAGGAATTCTTCACAACAGATTTGTTAGGTTACTCTCACATTTTTATTATGACAACAGTCATTACATAATGGAATAAAAAAATTAAAAAGATGACTGAATGGACACTTAAAATACATCCCACTTTATTCCTAATAAAGATGGTTCAGGGCATTTTCCTTACGGAAATTGAGACTTTATTTACTGTCACTTTAAGGAAAGTAGGAGGGACTCTAAAATAACATTTTCCTACAAAATATGACAGGTTATATTCTCCTCCCCAGGGTAAAGCACATGAAAGGTGTTTTTTTTTTAGACTGGGTGCATGTTATCTATGCAGCCACTATACTGTACTTGAATGTAAATCACTTGCGAAATGCCACAGCCAATTTCTCAGTCACCTTTCTCCATAGTATGCATGTACATTATGTATTATATGGTTAATAGTGCATCAGCTCCCTTGTGGAAAATCAAGAAAGCTTCCATGATCTCCTGAAAGAAAACTTGGAATTATTTTATACATGTCCAGCTAGGTTGGGCTGCAGTATGATCTGGGGAGAAATTCCAGCTGAATTAAGACAGCACTGTGCTGTACAGTGACGCCGTAGATACAGAGGTACTTGAGGCAGTATGGCTGTATCAGCATGGTGCTCTCTGTAGACTAATTAGTCCTGCTACGGATTTGGACTATTAAGTTCAAGCTAATGCATATCTGTGTGGTGCTGTGTTCCTGCCTTCCCCTTGGGCTGTGCTGAATGAACCCTGCTGAGGAAGGTTTTCTGTCCAAAACCAGAGACCTCTAACAGGCACAAAAACTTATGAAGCTGTAAGGCATAAGGGGATTGGACAGCAGGCAATTCTAGGGAGAGAGCCCAGGAAGGCCTGGGAGCTCATTTCCATTGCTCCAGGCACAGGACTCAGAGCTGAATATCACTGCAGTGTCTGCGTTGCTGCACATGCATTTGTGGGGTCTGAGACCGGGGGGATGCTTACATCAGTTTTTAGTTTGCTGAGGGAATACATACACTCCTTTCTGGGGTGAGGCATCATCCTTGAGGTGAGAAAAAAAATGCTGGAAGGCACCAGCTCTGGACACTGGGCAGAATGAAATCAGCCACAATACAAAATCACGGAAAGAACTACTAGCACTTTAGCCTACAAGACACACACACAAAGTAAAGATGGTGAAGATGAAACTTAAACAAGTGTTTTGTACAGCATTGTACAAAGACAAATGGGTATGAAGTGAAGAATAAGAATACCAAAGCTTACACCATGTTGCATTGTCCTCCAGATAGTCCTCTGGGAAGCAAGAGGGAAACAGATTCAGGGAACAGAAAAACAAAACAAAACAAAACAAAATAAACCACAGGTTATACCAAACAGGCAACCACAGAGAAGGTAACGAATCTTTATAAGCAGTTGATTTTAAATGAGAAATTTTACATCATGCTCTACAGAAGCAGCTGAGCTCAGTGGTTAAAATTATTTAATTTTTGACAGTTTTTTAATTTACTTATATTCAGGTGTACTTGCTAGATACCTAGACTAAGGTTGTCACTTTGTAGTAGGGGGACTTGGAAAGATTTTTCTGAGCTGTTCAAATGTATACTTTAGGATGAGATGAATTGTTCTTTAGAAATATTTGATTCAATTCAGTTGCCTAAACCCATGCTTAGAAAACTGAAAGAAGGTCTTTATTTTTCTGTGTTAACAGTAAAAAATACAGCCATCCAGACTTAAATCTAGACAGCTGGTTATAGGTATCTGCACTGTGGATCTCTATACTGAATCAGAAAAGTCCTCATTTTTGCTTCTGTTACAGTCACTTGAGAAATAGGGTGGAATACAGTTATCTAAATATAGGCAAAGCAAGTGGATTTAGTAGCTCTGAGATATTCCATCTTACTTTCAGCCAGGTCTCCTGTGACTTCAGTTTCACATTTGGACATCTTAAAGACCATGGCATCTCAAAGAGCATTGGGTGACTATATTCATGTAGCTGAATTTCACCCAGTGGAACATGCAGAGAACGGGTGGGGCTCAGTTCTGTTTTCCCACTTGGATGCCATATAGTGGACATCCTCTAGGGTGTTCTATCCAGACTTCAGCTACCAGTTCAGAAGGGCATAAGCAACCCAAATTACTGTCCTATCTATCAGCTCAATTAGATGTCTTATAAACTCCAAGGCATCTCAGTCTTGCATATCTACATGTGGGTATCGCAATCAAGCCTTTTTTTTACCCAGTCTTTTCCCAGTCTGAGAGAAGTGTCTGTGACATGTGGGGTGAATCACTCCCAAAAAATGTATGTCTTTCTACACTGACTTCAGAGACAGCCTGACTTTTAAGCCCAGTACTGTGAAGATATGATTGAAATGCCTTAGCATAAGTAACTTGAATTGCTTGAGCTGCTGCAGTGTATTCTAGCCAGCTCTCCACTGCTGCTCCAGAAGTATACTGGTCTCTTCTAGTTCTTTGTACCATATCTGCTGGTCCCATGTTTCAGACACCCTGAGATGTCTCAGATGATGCTTTACATTCATGCTTCAATAAGTCTCTCAAGCTCTACATAACTTTCTGAATACATCTGATGCTTTTGAAATCACATATACCACAGCTTTTGGGGTATATTTAATTTTTTGGCATATTTCTTATGATTTATTGTGATCTACTTCTTATTTGTTAAGCCTTACTTGTTACAGTTATGACAATAACACAGGGAAACCACTTTCCCCTCATTTTGGAACAGAAGAGCTGGATTAATCACATAATTCAGGCAAGGATAAAGGAACACTTTCTCAGATGGGTTCAGTACTGGGTGATTTCAGTGCAGGATTCTTATCAGGGTTACTTTGTGCAACATACCTGATAAAATATGCTCAACTGAATTAAGCTTAGAAATGGGGCTATGAACAGGAGAAAAAAAAATTGGTTTAGATGTGCTACATTTTTGTGTAAGATTGGGATGCAGAGGAAGTATTTCCTAAACTTGGTTTCTTCTCCTGTCAAAGACAGATAAAAGCAGAATTGTTTGTCACTTCTTTTGAGGTTTATGTAACTTCGTGTTTGGACTTTGCAGTGACAGTTTAGAGTTAAGTTGTCTGACAGTGTTTTATGAATACAAACTCCAGAATAGACTTCTAAAAGCATTAACATAACACTGAACAGTCAGCTGACTTGCAAGAAAAGACTTGTTTTTTATATCTGCAGTAATCAAAAGGATTTTTAACTGCTTGACACTACCATCAAAATACCAATATTGCAGTATATTTATATTAAGTGAGTGATAGAAACTGATCAGTGTGGAGACAGGAAAACTGCTGTGAGTGGGGTTCTCCTTATGTCCTGTTAGCCATGTAAGGGTTAGGAGGACCTAAATGAAGCTGGTCCTCCAAGCTCTGGCTGTAGTTAATGAAGAGAGATATGTCATTCAGGGAATGATTCAGCACATGAAATGCTAAGGTTCTAGTGTAGACAAGTTAAGTGGTGTTTCCATGAGGCAGGAGTGTAGCATTTATATCCTTCTGGATAAAATTACCCAAGAAAGTGTGAGATGCAGGCAGTGACCTTTCCCAAGTGCTGCTAAGGGGTTACAGCTTGAAATAAGGCCTTCTGCTTTAACCCACATAAATAACCTTTCCCAGCTCCAGATGAGGTCAGTGGCCATCTCTGAATTGAGGGATTGTTGGTCTCAGCTCAGAAGGAGACAACACATTCATCACTGCCATTTGAAGATATATTTCAAACCAAGACTCATCACTAACAGACCATAAATAGTTATTAATTTAAATACTGTCAGCAAGAACAGCAAAGAGGAAATTTGTTTGAACATATTAAAAAGTAACAGCAGCAATACTAAACTCTTTGGGGTTTTATCTGAAATAATGCATGAACAAAAAAAATTAAATCATACAGAGGTAAGTCCCCTTTTCAAAATCTAGAAATTATGAGGAGTTATAAAGTTTATCTGCATTCACAATTATCTTTCACTGAATTATCTTCCATTAGCTACAGTCTTTAAAGGCTGGCTGCTTTATTCAGGATGCTGCTCAGTATTTTGGAAGCTTGTAGTTTAAAAAGAATATTAATGTGCTTAGAAGTATTCTTGTGTCAATATCTCGTGTTGCTTAAACCTGCCTCTTTCATTGCAAAAATGATCCAACTGTTCTTACATCATAGTAATTAAAATTGAACTGTGCTATCAGCCTTTATATACTCTCTGTCCCATTTCAGCTGTTTGCAACCTTTAGCTTTGACAGAGCATGACTGAAACCTAAAGGCTTTGGTGACTTCACCTTGGCTAATTCTAGATTAAGATCCAGGACTCTGCTATGAGCAATACAGAAGGACTCTGAAGGTTCTCTGAATATAAAGTGAAAGTATGAAATTGAGAGCCCATCAAATATGGATTGAGCATTGCCAGTCAGATTTTTAGCCTGAGATTTTACACTGGGCTATGAACCTGCTGTGGTAGAAAGCACTAAGTTTGCAATGGAGGTAAGCATCTTTTCTGCTTCACCATTTAGGATAATCAGGCTATACTGTTTCCAGAAGAGCAGAGAACTAACAAATGCTGCTTTTTGCTGCTGGGTAATTGCATGCCTTGACTAGAAATGCCATGTTACTTTCCTGTTGAATTGCCATGAAGATTGACAGAATAGAGCAGACAGGATACAGAATATATAGAAGTGGTTGGAAAGATTGGCACTGTGAAAGACTACTGTGATCATCAAATGAATATGATGAATGGTGGTGTCCAGAAGATACCCAGATCCTCATCTGAATTAGTATATTTGGGTTCCTGCTCAGTGATTTAAGTTGCATATTGGAGAAATCTTTAGACAATTTAGGCTTATGATCAGACAGCAAGAAATTTTGGTGCCCTAGTGCAGTCAGCAGCTACCTGGCAGCCACCAGGAGTGCAGGTCACCATATACCCATACCTGTTTCCACATGAACTCTCCTTTCCCCTTACTCTTGCTATAGACCTGAGTGCTCCTCTATTCAGCAAGGGAGAACAGTACTGTGCAAGTGTGCAGCAGTAAGCTGAGGACATGCAATACAGTGTGTTTTAATTCAGGAGCTTTAAAACTCTTTTAAACTGATTTTGCTCATTGGTTTCACCTAGAGAGGAGTCCTGTGATGATATTAAGAGCTATAGTAATTAGCCTTCTATCAATCTATAGATGTACAAATAGCAGGAATATTGAAGTCTTAAATGTCAATCCAATGACTGGTAGTAAAGAAAATAATCTTATAATAAAGTATTTTTTTCCAAAATGATTGAATAAGTAAAGCAAAGTTAAGGAGCACTGCAGTTTTAGTTGATAAAAGTCAATTGTTGAGATGGATGGAAATAAAGCAGTGTTAATTTTATAATTAAGTAAAAAAGTGAAACAAATTAATGTGCCTTTGCAAGTGTATTAGTTCAAGAACTAAGTGATAAAAATGGCCTCAATATATAAAACTTGTTTTTAATATAAAATAAACAATTTAAAATATTGCTGTAGATCATTTTTAAAAGAGAATTTATACTGCAAGGTACCTGCCATGGCTTATGTGTTTTTTGGCCTCCAGGAAAGAGCTTTTCCTCTTCTAACATTTCTAATACATAAAAACAGAGTCATATTATTCTCCTACAATGCAATTCTATACCATTTCCAATGGGGGAAAAAAGATTTACTGAATGCCGGAACAGCTGGCAAAGAAACAATAGCACTTAAGAAATTATTAAATTAGGAGATTGCAACCTTCTAGTATATTATTAAGCCTTTTCTACTAATTTGAAAATGGAATATATTTTGTTTTACCAGCCTATCCAAACTTGTGCCAGCAGCAGTTGTAGGTCGCTCCTCTGGGTTATATGGTCTAAACCGGGTATTGAAGTTTTCAGGGACAGAACGGGAAGATCTCAGAGCTGGTGCTGGTTTAGGTTGGCCACATCCTTGGAAAATCTGAAAAAGACATTGTTGGTTATATGAAAATCATAAAAAAAAAGAAAGCTGGTATTTTGTAGCTTCTTTATTCTTCCTTTTGTATATTTTAACCAGATTTGATTGACATTTTTATAATAGTGAATTGAGTGCTTAGCCTGCATTAAAACTCTGTTTAAATAATTAAGCCTTATTAATTAATTGGTGAAGGTATAAAAACACATAGGGACCTTAAAATCCCCTTGATTTAGGACATCTTAATTGCTGTCTTTCCAGGAGGAGAAATGAGCAAAAGGATGTTCTTCGTGGCAGGACTTAGTTGATAACTGTTTTCACTTTTGTTAAAATGTGGTATTTACCCAGAATCAGAGGTCATTCATAATCCCTACAGTTCTTCCTACCTTGCAATCTTATTTGTAGTCTTAGAGAAAAGGTCAGTGATGGAATAGTCTTATAACTGGACAACTCCCTTATTCCCTACCAATGTCTCTGTAGAAGAGGGGTGAGGCACACTGAGTGAGCAATAGTGGTAATTATTTTCTGCTAGTGTGTTTGTTTTCTAAGTATAAAAAATAATAAGTTCAGGGTTATGAAATTTTTTATATGCTTTCATTTGGAAAAAAGTTTCAGTGTTATGTATCTGATGGGTACTAAAGTATACAGAGGACACTTTTGACTACTGGATATCAAATATATTTCCCAGAGGCACGAGCTACGCATCAGAAAAGAGGTAGAATATCCACAGAGTTAAAATTTTCAAGTGCTCTTATGAAGTAGGATCCTAGGATGCCTTCATACCGATTTTTTCAGTTCTATAATCATCTTTCTTTTTTTTGTGACCATTGTATTTTGGCTTTCAGCATTCAGAAGAAAAAAAAAATTAAATGTCAGAATTTCTTGTAAGATATATTTTACAAAACCCTAATGGCAGGCGCAGACTGCCTGGATGAGCTTTATGGAGGTGAAAACTGTGCAGATGATGTGTTTTGATTGTAGGACCAAATTACTTTTTTTTCTGTGGCTGTGTTGGGTTTGAGTAGCCACGTTTTGATATTGGGGAGCTATGAGATGTCTTCTCTGAGAAGCTGCCAGAAGCTTCCCCCAGGTCTGGCAGGGAAAATGCCATGCAGCTCCAGCCTGCCGCTGTCCAAGGCCAAACCAATCAGGAGTGATAGAAACACCTCTGTGATAACATATTTAAGAAGGGATGGATGTAATTGTGGCCAGAGAAGAGCAGAGTGAGAATATGTGAGAGTAACAATTATGCAGACACCAAGGTCAGTGCAGAAGGAGGGGCAGGAGGTGCTCCAGGCACCAGAGCTGAGGCCCCTGCAGCCCGTGGTGCAGACCATGGTGAGGCAGCTGTGCCCCTGCAGCCCATGGAGGACAATGGGGGTGCAGAGACCCACCTGCAGCCCATGGAGGAGTCCCATGCTGGAGCAGGTGGATGCCCAAGAGAGGGCTGTGACCCATGGGAAGCTTGTGCTGGAGCAGGTTTCCTTGTATGTCTTGTGGCCCTTTGGGGGACCCCTGCTAAAGCAGCTTGTGCCTGAAGGACTGCACCCCATGGAAGAGTGACCCATATTGGAGCACTTTGTGGAGAACTGTTGACTGTGGGACAAACTCACATGGAGAAGTTCGTGGAGGACTGTCTTCTGTGGGAGGGACCCTATGCTAGAGCAGTGGAAGGACTCCTCTCCTTGAGCAGTGGCAGGAACGATGTGTGATGAACTGATTGTAATCCCCATTCCCCATCTCCCTGAGCTGCTGGGTGTGGAGTAGGTAGAGCTGGGAAGTGGGGGGGGGAGGTGTTTTTAAGATTTATTTTACTTCTCATTATCCTGCTCTGATTTTGTTAGTAATAAATTCAATTAATATCCCTAAGCTGAGTCTGTTCTGCCCATGATGGTAATCGGTCAGGGATCTCTCCCTGTCCTTATCTCAGCCCATGAACCTTTCATTATATTTTCTCTCCCCTCTCCAGATGCAGAGGGGAGTAATAGAGTGGCTTTGATGGCTGCCTGGCATCCAGCCATGGTCAACCCACTACAGTGGCAAATAAGACAACAAGCTCACAAGTTACGTTGTGAGCTTGATTAAAAAGACTCATGTTTCACTTTCAGACATTTATATTTTCTGCCTTGAGTGGTTCTGTCCTGAAGTAGCCATGGATGGTGTGACTTTTGTTTCTTTCAGGATAAATTAAAATTGCCTTTCAGTTAAGTTTCCTGATGTTAATTTAAAGGCCCCAAATGATTCAAAATTTGCTGAAAAAATCTGATTCATACTAAATATGTGTCAAACCATCAGATCTGTTTTTGCTCAAAGTCCAGCAAGTCAGCTGTTTATGGCCATTGGGATTTTTAATTTATGAGTGGAATACCATTTGTTCTGGTTTGCAAATATCTGTCTTAAGATTTTCTAGCCTCCCTAGTCATGAGGACTATTGGACAATACATTAACTTGATCAACAAAGAAAGGTGATTTTAGCTTGCAAACTTCTGGCCTTTTTTTCACCAGGAAAGAACCTTATTTTTCCTCTCTGAAGAAATTCAACGAAGATTATAGGATTACAGGATTCAGGATTTATACATGATTGTGTAGGATACTGTACAATTTAAAAGGCCAAAGATATATGTTGAGGGCATGAATTACACTTACAAAAGTTTACTTACATTTTTTCTGACTCAAGAAAAGTGATATGCTGAAAACATAATTGTTTATTTAGATATCTATGAAATCCCATTGACTCAACTAACCAGCCAGGAATTTGCTTACAAAGGGACAATTATCCAAAACATGCAACTAGATTCTTGGGGGAAAGTGAGGGCACTTCTTAAATTTTCCAGTGTGTGACTGTTAGGCTACTTGTATGACCATGTGCTGCAACTGTAAGCCTCCATAATTTATATTTCATCTTTCTTATGACATACTGTAAAAAACCCAAAATAGACTTTGTGGCATTTAGCTTCATCCAAATAGTTGTAGCAAGTGGGTTTATATGAACAAAGTTACGTACAGTCAGACAATAACAAACTAGATAGTAATTTTTACATCACAGAAGAAGAAATAACTTACTTTTTAAATGACCTGGCAGAAATGCAGTAAGAATACAATATTCAGTAACTAAATTTTGAGTGCAAGAGACACTTTTAAATTTGCATCCTGATACTAACTGACAGAACAGAAACTGTAAAGCTGATGACGGATATTAACAAATGCTTCCTAAGAAACACATGAAGTACTTTCTTCACCATGTTATTCAGAGATACTGAGCAATTTCTGGAAAAATATTTATGTGTTTGATTACATATGTTGTGAATTGGTAATATAAATCCACTCTCTTTAAAAAATTGCATTTTATATATAATTGGTGTGGTTTGTTTTATCTGAATTTAGGGAGTGGATTCCATTTGAAATGAAGAAACCTGAATTTAGGTGTGTACCTGTGTTTACATTTAAGTTATACATCTGAGCTTCAATTTTAGGCAGTGGAGGTCAAAACTTCCTTGAGTTTCTTTCTTATCAGCATCTATAGTAGTTCGTCTTAACACAAAGCCATTCCCCACTGAACTGCAGTTAAAGCTCAAATGGACCAGATCTCTATGGTCAGGGATATGAACCAAGCAGTGAGAGCAAGTCAATAGAGCCAGTGAAGAATAACATCTACTGAGCTGACTAAATGGAGGTATCTACTTCAGGACTAGGATGTAGATACTGTAAAAAAAAGAGTCCTTTTCCCACGAGAACTTGAAGTTTTTAATTTTTGCAGAGGATATGGTTTGATCTCTATGAAGCCTTGAGTCATACTGTTATTTAGCCATGTGCCAGTGCTCAGTGTTTCCAATTCAGTGTCTCTATATGACTCTGCTCCATTGACTCATCTTCGGATAGAATAGCATTGATTTTTTACCTGAAATGCCGTTTTATTTTTCCTGCACAGAGCTCTGGAAAGAACACAGATAAATGAAGAGGTTTTCTTAATATGAAACTCGTGGACTATTTTAAGAAGAACCTTGGATGTAGTTCTGTGAAGATTTCCTTCTTATAAATAATGCATAGGTAGTCTGCTATGTCATGGAACTCATTCATCCATTTAGCTGAAGTAATTGCTAAGAAGGAACATATATTTATAGGTTAAAATGGCACATCCATCAGCTCAGATAAAAGCAGATTTAAGACTTACTAAGGGAAACTCAGCTATGGGATAGACTTTATGAAAGTGGAAAAATCTTGTCATGGCAGCCAAATGACTCTTATTAATATAGTCCAGTATGTTGTGTTTTGTGTAGCAATGAAGACATGATTATGCTGATGCAAACAGATCAGGAATTTCCTCCATTTTGAAAAAAAAAAAGGATGTTATTACATCTTTTCAGCTGTTTTTTGAGTTTTCCTCCACTTCTCGTGAATGAGCAATCTCTGCAGATGTCATTCATGTTAAAAGGGAGCAGATGTAGCATTTACCTTTTGAGTTGAAGCAGGAATGAAAGATAATGATGCTGATAGCCTTACAGGAAAATTGTGAAGGCCCTCAAAACATGCTTGTTTTGGCCAGGATTGAAATGAGCATTTATATGTTATGAGTCTCTTAACACGACTACCTGAGTTACCTCAGGGAGAATGAGGGTGAGAATAAGGTAAATGTATGCTATGACCAGGTCTTGGATATGAGCTGAGCCATGGGAAACAATATACAAAATGTAAAAATTTTGCCTGGGAAACAATCAACATGTTGCTGAGTGCTGAGTTTGTCACTATATTGTTCAAATACCAAAAAGGTGTCACTGGTGAATAACAAAAAGGTTTCAATAAAGAAGATATCCCGTCTCAGACATTACAAGAAAAAATCCAAGGTAAATCTATTGCACCCTGACTTCTGCCACAGGCAACCTTCAGGGAACACCACTGTAGTCTGGGTAGATCCAGATCACACAGCCTGCTAAAAGGTATCGATGTCTTGGGAGGCATCTCGGGCAGCCCAGGCTAATTGTTTTGCACTCTGTGTGGTTTGGTTTGCAGAAGGTGCTCTCTAAGAATGGCTGCAGTTGTTAGATGATGAATCTATGGAAGCTGCTTTTGATGATCTTCAGTCCTTGTCTTTTTTTGGAGAAGGGAAACTTTGGTCTGATTCAGAGCACATAGATTTCTCTTGCAGAAAGGCCTTGGGCCTTGAGGTCTGACTTTCTAGACCATTGATCCTTTTTTGACAAGTATCTCCAGTTATCACAGTTGTCAGGAATGGGACCTTGTGTGGCTGTCATTTAGGGACATGACAGATGTGCAGTGTGAGCAGCCATGAAGCTTAGAGCTTTGGAATCAGACTTTCTAGACCACCAGTGCTGAATATAAACTGCAGACAAATATTAGGAAAACAGAAAGATTGCAGCCTCAGGATGAATTGGATCTTAACATAATACTAGTACCTGGTTAATGTAAACTGTGCTAGAAGAATCAACCACAATCATGACAGAAACAAGAAAAGTTACTGGCCTAGGAACAGAGATGCTCCATTTTATGCAGTGACAGATACTGGGATGTGGCTGAGTCTGTACGTCCTTGGTTGGAAGTACAAAAATGGAAGAGGTACATGAGGCATCTCTATAATTCTCTGTCTCAATATTGATGTGCACCATCAAAAGTGGAAGACAGAGGGGTTTTTATCTTCTAAGGAAATGAAAGACAAGGAGTGAACTCAAGCCATAAGCCTTGACTGTCTGCACTGATTAATTATTAACTTGTTGGCTATTTCTTGGACTGCTCCAACTTGCTCTTGGCAGAATGAAACAGCTCCAGAGGTAGCTCTCAGCAGTACAGAAATGAATCAGGCTGTGACACTTTGGCCCCAAGATCAACCACGGACCTTTTCCCCCTTTTATTTATTAGTATAACTGTAACCATGAAGACTATTTCTCAGAAAAATAGTGCTGAACAGAAGGTGCATATTTATAGGGAAAAGATATTGGATAAGGCCTTCAGTACTACATCAAGTGAAGAATTGAGGGCCAAACCATAAAAATGGAGACTTAGAAAGTTTATGCTGTATTTTTCTGCTGATGTCTAAAATTGAAGACTTCATTCACATGAGAGTATGCATTGTTACTTATTTATATACACTTAATATGTTGGAAAGTGTACGTTGTTGCTCACTTAATTGTGCCTCCATATGGACAGTAATGTACAGTCACTGTATTATATAAAAAAATCTATTTTTCTCAAATAGACTTCAATATATAATTGCAGCTGTTATAATACAAAATATAATTTTGTAATACAAAGACAAATTGATAGTGCAAGTTAATGTTAATGACTTTTGGAATAGGGCAATTTTATATAAATATTTGAAAGAGGAGCATATGGATTTCGGATTAAATGAATCCCCCACAAAGGGGATGTAGTAGTAGAGCTCCTTGAGGAAGAAACTTTTTGTTTTCATTTTTTCTACTCTTTTTAAAAGAGAAACAACATTATACAGTGTGGTCCAAAATTCTGCTTTTTCAGCATAGAGCCTTCTCTCAGACATCAACCAGATTTTTAGGCAGAAAAGGCTGCATGTCAGTGGTGAAAAATAATCTATGTGTATGTGGGTGTTGCAGGCATAATATTATTAGTGTGTTGCCATTTTCCCACTGTAAAAAGGCACTGACTGACTTGTGGAAAAATAGCTGTGATTCCTAGTCACCACTTTTTTCAGTAAGTATACTCAAATACAAGATACAAAATTGTTTGAAGAAAGAGAAAATAACATGATTTCAACACCCTGCCTGAAGCTTTCTGAGCAGCATCTCAGAATAATTGACAAGCATGGCTTTTCTCCCACATTAGGTCTGCAATTGCATTCCATGCACCCCATTACATTTGGCAAGGTATCTGTCATTTTCACTGAAGCTCTAAGTGGTCAGTATGTATAGGGGGAAAAATTAGACAACAGAGGACTGATTCCAAGCCTACTCATTTATCATCTCTACAGATCTGACATGGCAAAGAAGAGCACAGCACTAAGCCCAAAGCCTTTGCCTTCTTATACATTTTTTTAAAGAAAAAAGCATTTTCATGTGACCTGAATAAAGATTGATATAACCAAGAAGATCAAGGAAATCATATTTCAGGAGACACAGAAATACACAAAGGTCCCTCAAGGATAGACAGCTCTGTTATCTATGAAAATATAGTACAATAAATTTTACTGATATAATTTCTTTTCTGTTCTGCAATATTTAAAAAATTATTGACTAAGGTTTCTCTTAGAGGAAAAGCTTTTGCATTGCAAATGGCATTGCAATCAATCTCTACAGCAAATATTTGTGAGGGGCAGGAGAAACAGTCTGCTCTGCTATAAATGAGTAGTTAGATGAGCTCATGCCAATATGTCATTGGACTCTGGTAGGGGATGCAGCTTCCCAACTAACAGGAAAACTGTGAAAATCAAACAAGTAAAAAGGAAAATTATATACACTTGGGCCTTCAGCGAGTTTTCAGTGAAAATATTTTTTTTAGGTAAGGGCTGAGTTTGCTGAAGCTAGCCTTTAATTCCCAAAATATTTGGGATCACTTGATCACTGCTGCCAGCACAAAGTCTCATCACGCAGGATGTAGTCTGCTTTTAAAATCCAAGAAACATCATGTAGGTTGAAAGTAAAAAGCATCTTGAAAGAAGCCCTTAAAAACCTGTAACACTGGGGCCATAAAAAACATCTAATTTGGGTTGGCAGGAAGAATATTAACCTCAGCCTCCTGCCTTTTGTCCCCACATTTTTCCCAGCTACAGCAGCTTCCTTCCATGCAATGGAAATTCACTGACTCAGATGGCAATCTGGCCAGCACCCAACTGACTACTGGGAGTTAAATGCAAGATAGAAACTCCTAATGCGGAGAACGTGGCAAACTGTTGACTTTAGAATTTCAGTGACAGTGCACTGATGAATATTAAGGGAGAGCCATTAATTGTTGGCTATTGGCTCAACAGCACCTGCTACTGAATTTGAAGGATCTTATTAACAGGGGTTCAGAGGTGATGGTGATCTGTGTATACACACACACATTAAAAATGGAAAGGAGGAAGCTGGTATCATTAGCTCTGTTTATCTTTGTGTCAGAATCCAGACAAAACTCTATCAAACTGTGGTCTGGTAATCAGAGACTGTCCAATGTAATATTTCCCCTGAGTGGCTATTAAAGGAGGTTAAATGGAACATTTTGTGTATTCACCTCAAACACATTGCACTTCACTCTGACCTAGACAGATCAAAATGTGTTTGGAAGCTAATATGGAGAATCACAGATGAGACACGAGTGGAAGTTACCAGGTGTACTCTGCAGGCTATTGCTTACAGAATTACTGCTGATTTTCAGCACTCTCTATTTTCCTTAAATCTCTTACAGCTATTAATTTGAAGTTTAATAAATGGTAGCTTTCTTCCTTCCACTTCCTTTTGAAAAGTTCAAGCTTGTTTAACTGCATGAAGAATTCAAAGGCAGTCTGGTAAACTGTTGAACAAGGAAAAGCAATTTCTGGTGGTCTGAACAATCTTTCTTAATAGTCTAGACAGAAAAATTGGTGGAGATGTTTTCCCCCCCACTTGTGGCATTCAACAACAGAGAAGGCACGACTCACACAGTACCTTTGCTGACACCTGCATGCTGTTCTCTTGCATGTTCATGATGGCTTCAGAAATCTTGACATCAATAGGATCCATGACTGATTCAATGTTGAATGGTCCCTCTAATCTCTCCGCTACCAGAAGCATAGCATCTGTTAAAACACAAAGCAGCCATTCCCTTAAAGAAGGGATACCTTTGGGTGCCTCAGGCAGACCAGTGTTGCCAGCTGTAGGTGTGGGTACTGAGCACTCCTGAGCAGGAGCCTGTGGGGATGCGTGGCAGCAAGACCATGAAGCCTGCAGGGCAGCTTCCCAGCTGCCAAAAGTATCTTCTTCTACTGCTGCCACCACAAAAAGAGGAATAAAGACTGTGAAAGTTAGCTTAATGTTAGTTGACATGGTATTATTGAGCTTGGGGTAAAATTATTTTACACAGCCTCACATCACTTGAAGCAACCAGTGCTCTGGAGTGTACTTATGTAATCTCCTTCCCAAGAAAAAACAGGATGATAGAAATGAATCCTTGGTGTATGTTCTTAGAGTTTGTGTGAGATGATGAAAACTTTGATATGATATATCAGGGTGTTATAATTAAAGCAGCTGTTCTTTCTGACCTTAATGATCTCATTTTCTTGCAATATGAACAGCAGATGAATATTGGATTTCTGCCATAGTATATAGGTATAAACCATGTTTGCCTTGCTACATTTTCAAAACATGGTTGTAAGCTGCATGGAGAAACATATTCTTTGTATGTTTTGAATTAAAAAAAAAGTTTGCTTAATTTATATTAGAGCCCCTCTCCAAAATAATTTAAAAGTTTTCAGCATCTAATTAGCTTTAAACAGATACCACTTGTAACTTTAACATGATAACAAAAATCTTTCTTTGTGGAGAAAGCTTGGAGCACCCTGTAGCCCCAATAGCAGTGTTTATTAGCTCCACGCTTGGCTGAAAGTCACTGAACTTCGTTCCAACCTGTGTGGCCATCTTCTCCCTCCCCACAGAAGCACATGTGCATGGAGGTAGGGGAAGAGGTGGCTGGTGTCTCAACCAAGTAGTTGAGACACACACTCCCGTGCATAGCCTGATCTGAGGGCAACAATATGTTGTTTATGTGCTGTCAATGCATGCCTAAAAATCCCACTGAAACTAGAATTACTTGGCATGTAGTACCTAAGCACTTTTGCAAATTTACATCTAATATTTCACAGTACTTCTAGACCGAAAAGAGTGTAATGCCAGTTATTTGGTGTGGGGCATATAGCACTTGTTCCTAAAGGTGAGAAGTGGTGAGATGATAGGAAATTGGTTTCAAACAGAGATGTTGTTTTGCCTGCACATTGTTTTAAAATTCTTTCCAGTGGGAAATGGTGAAAACAGGAACTACCGCTGATAGAGAAAACAGTTTTCATACGCACAGAGACACACATACATATACGCATGCACACACATATACTTACAGATTCCTGCAATAAGCCATTTTTCCACATGCAAAGATAATATCTAAGTGTGGACTGCTATAAAGGATTTTCTTCCTTACACATTGAGTGACTTGTATAAAACATTTATGCTTTAGCACTTAGTGAGCAATGTGTCTAAATTCTAGATGCCACAATCAGTACTAGCCATTGCTAGGGCACGGGTCTTGATGGCTGGATTTTGATCGTTAAATTCAGGATTAGAATAAAGATTAGGGTAAATGAATAAAACAGTGACGAGGAGGTGGTTGGGGCTTTTTCTTTTGGTTTGGTTTGGGTTTTTTTTGTAGACTACAGTTTAAGTTAAGGACAGGTGCCTCTTTGTACAAGTCCACTTTAGTTTGGAAACTAGTAGGTTGGACAAGTCTAGCGCTAAGCTCTAGTACATGTTTTGGATCAGGGACTGTGTTGAAACAGCATTCAGTAAATAGGTAGTTGCTGCAGACTTCTCATGAGAATGGGTAGTGGCTTGAATCTACTTTCTGTTTCTTCTGATGGCATGGGACACTAGTTCTGAATTAAATCTTGAAGTGAAATCTCAGATATGTGGCAGAAAAGTGCGTCATCCTTAACTGCACAAGAACTACAGCTTTGATTGCAGAAACAGCCTTTCCTCAAGCCAAGTGCCTTCAGCTTCAAAACTAATAGCTCTAGGAGATGCAAACTAAAAATCTCTTCCTGGCTTAGAGAGCTTGTATCTTTAGAAAGATATCCTTTGGTTCATCAGCTTTTATTTTCTGAACTTTAAGCCTAGTCTTTACATATATATATATATATATATATATATATGTCTTTGTACTGGAACTGGGCAGAGGCTGAGGAACATGGGTAATTCCTGGATGTTAAAGGTGAGATTTTGTTATGTTGGGCTTCTTTCTTTGATATAGTGTGGTATAGGTCTGATGGTGAGTTCAAGAACTTGGGTTCAAATTAAGGTTAGAGTCCAGTATTATATTTCAATCACATGGGCTATAGATCTATGCTATTGCTATATAGAAAGGAAAAGAAAGGAAAAGAAGAAAAGAAGAGAAAAAGAAGAAGAAAAGAAGAGAAAAGAAGAGAAGAGAGCAAGTAAATCCCTGCTCGTCCATATTCATTAACTGCTTGTCTCCTTCTCTGATTTGGAATGAGTCTGAACCACTCCGGGTAACTATTCTCAACCCAAATCTGTGGAGAAGCTAGCCTGAAGCAGTGAGGGTGTGAACCAACAGTAACACTTGTCATTAGATCCTTGTGATCTCTTACTTAGTTGTATCTATAAGGATATGACTAAGGAACCATGGGTTAAGGGAGAATATGATTTGAAATATTCACACCTTTACTGATGACAGGTACATCTTTATATCAACAGTTTGTATTTTTATTTTGGGGTTAGTGGGACAGGACTAATGCTAAACTAAAGGCCTATAGAGGGACATATTTGAAGAAGAAGAGTGTGAGAAATGGATTAAATGCTGTGATGAGAGATGCTTGAAGGGCTGAAGTAAAACTGGTTCTTCCTGAAACATTATTTCTGAGGCTGACACTAGTTGTGCTTCCAGTTAAGGCTCATTTTAGGGATCAGCTCAGACTAGAAGTCTTGGGAAATTGCACAGTTCAGATGAGTTCTTGCACAAATGGAAAACTAATGTTGTTTGAGGACTCATTTTGTCATCAGTTTCAGCAGCTGTGTGGGGCCATGGCTGATTTAGCAGTGACCGGGCTGCTGGGTTACTCCTGTTTCCTTCTGGTAGGAGTACTACAAGCTCAGTTGAGCAAAAGACGATGAACAAGTGCCACTTCTATGAATGCCAAAATTATTTTCTTAGTCTCTGTCTGACTGAGCTCTTTCTTCTACCTTTTCTCTAACCATCATGTTGTTCATAATATTAAGTCAAACACATCCAGATGATACCTGACAGCTGTAGACTAAGAGAAGCCTGGAAGAACTTAATATAGTCTTATTATTGTCACTTTGCAGGCCCCTTGGGAACATAATCACTACTGTATTTAACTAGCTTCAGTCTACTAATTTTTTGAGTTAGCCCTCAGATTAAAATTAAGACTGAATATTTCATCCTTAACATTGATTTTTAGAAACACCCCACAATGTTTAAGGTGAATTGCTCCCTTGGAAAATATTTCCTCAGCTCATTAGATTGAATCCTCTTGTTTGCCAAACCTAACCCTCAATCCAGTGCTAAACCTTATTATTCACCTGTACTGTTCTATATGAACACATACAATATATACACACTAGCTATTCTGTGCAATTGAGTGAAATGGAAGTTGTTGGGTTGAATATAGTGAAAATCAGATGAAATGTAATGATCTGAGATTTATGACAGAAGAGTCAAAATGTTGTAATGGTCCTTACCAGACAGTAGCTCTTCAAATCTATAATCATGTATCAACAAACACAACACTCTTGTCCCAAGTCCTTTTTTTGTCTCATAAAAATGTTGTGAATATTATTACATGAGAAGCTGGAAAGATTTCAAATGAAGTTAAGAAAATCTATATGCCTCAGCCTTGAAATATTAATTTACAAGAACAGACCCTTGAACTGGAAGAAAGCCGACCTTAGTTCTGTGTGACTCTGTGTGTATTTAAGAATTTCTCAATCAGATCAAATAGAAGATATGAGGAGCTTAGTTATTGTTTTTGCCATAAAAATCTGAAAACTGATTAATTGACTACCTGGGTTTTTTTATCTTGTTAATATACTTAGACTGTATTGTTTAATTACATGTTTTTTATTTTTACCTCTTTTGCATTTTCAAAATCTGCTTTATCAGGACATCTCTTCCCCTTCCATATATATATAGCACTTGGTAAAAAGCTGGTATCTAGTTGCCAGCTAGGGTGAGTGGATCAGGATCTCTGTTTAGGTAAGTAATTCTTGCATTTTGGGTTTTTTAGGGACTTGGAAACAATAAATGTGACTAATTGCTCACTTGAGGACACAGACTTGCAAAATGGTCCTGAGAAAGTACAGAGCATATGGCACACCAGATTCACCATCAGTGCCACTGGTCTTGACCTCTCCTAGGTGCATGTTGCTCAAAACAGGAGTGGGGACCTTCCTGATGCAGTAAAACACCCATGTCTACTGGAGTCCAAGGTTGTAGTCCCAGGGACCCTAGAATGTTTCTCCTGGCTGAGCACAGCAGCTCTCTTTAACTGTTTTGCATTCCCTTGTCCACATCAAGAAATACCATAGGTATTTGGCTTTTAGAAGGACATTATTTAATTTTAAGCAATATATAAGAAAGAGATCCTGCGGAAAGGTTACTGATTTATGAGATATCCGACAAGTGAAAAAAAACCCCAAACGACTGAAATACAAAGTTCTTGTAAGAACAATCATTGCCTCCTTTTTCTCGTCATCCTTCTATCATCAAGAAAGTGCAAGGAGGATCTGATAGGGAAGACTCAGGAGGTTGATACGGAAACGCATTTTTTGGGTCTCTGTTAGTTTGGCTGTGACATCAGTTTTTGCTTTCATGCACACAGTTGCTCTTCTACTTCAAAATTATCTGTGAGGTTCTAGCAGTGGCTGAGCTTTCCTCAGGGTCATCCAGAAAAAGATCTGTGGATGAAGTCTCTATAAATGTTGTTTTGTCAGGGAGACAAAGAATGGTAAAATACAAAATTGCATGCCCTTCACAAAATTTTAAGGTATATTTTGT